GAAAATAAAACTAAAATGCATTTTTTTATTCTGAGAACAAACTTACAGAACATCAAAGACACCATGACAGTGAGTCAAATCCATCATACTCTGTATGCCAGGAGCAGGTCAAAAAGGGAAAATTCTATGTAACTCTAAAATTCACATGAGGTTACATCAACCACATGGCCACACCATGCCTTGTTCACGTTCCTCAAAGACTCCCTGAACTCTTTTTTTTTTCACTCTGTGTTTAATACAATTTGTGTAATACTTAATACAAACATATAGTATTTTACTGCTGTAATTTTGCATAAGCAAATGTTTAACTTCCCATTAAAAGAACCATACTTTATGTTTTTGTTTCTTCACTGTAAAAGGAGGATTCCAGGAAGAATTATCTCTATAGGCCAGTCCCAGGCATCTAGATTAAAACAGCAAAATATGCACAAATAAAAGATGAAAATTAAAGGAGTTTTTGTCAACAGGTTTTATAGCAAATGTTCTTCAAAGACATAATAATTTACATTAAAATACTTTTGTTGGTGGTTTCTTTTTGAAGTCATTTTTCGTTAATGTACATGAGTCAAAAATAAAGAAATGTACGAACTGTGTTTTATTATTATTTTGGAAGGTAACATCTTAAATTCTTAATCTTAGATGGAATTAGATGTAAAGGCTCTTGGGAAATAAACCATAGGCTGACTACCCTGTCAGCCATGAGACTAAAATCAATCCTAAAGCCTATCTCATGGAAAAGTGGTTTACTTACTAATCTGTGATGCTTAGAATTAGTACTGACACTTATCAAGATCATCATACTCTTGAATTAATTGATTAGAAAAGTTATATTAAGACTATATTCTCAAAACATGCACATTAAAAATATTTTAGGTCAGCCCACACACTGCATTGTAACTGAAATCTAGGCAATTCAGAGACATCTACTGATCTGCTCAATTCATTCATTGAGGTATGTCAAGTATCCAAATGTGATCATTACTTTGATAATCAATTCCTTCCTCCTTGATTTACAAAAATGGTAATTAAGAAATAATAATGCTGCTTTGGACCAACCTCCTTTCCATTCCTATATAAGCCCTACATTAAACTATCAAAATATATTAAATATATGAGTCAAAATGAGATCAATAATATTTTTGAGTTATTATGTCCTGTGATACAAATGTTAATGCTACTTTTCATTTGCTTGGATTATCTTAAGTACAATGTGAACATGGTGAAATTTGACATAAGTTTTTTTCACCTGATTTATTTCCTTTTATTTTAAATCTTTCCCCTCCATTTCCAGCAATGTGGGGTTATTTGTCAAACTAGCACATTTTCCATTATAGATATAAAGTGGACTACCTATATTATAGAAGAAACTATTTAATATTTCAATTTTCTTAGTACATTTTGTAATTTTTAAAAGGCCTTGGGTCGGGGATTTAGCTCAGTGGTTCTGGCACCTCCTCGCAAGTGCAAGGTCCTGAGTTTGATCCCCAGTACCAAAAAAAAGAAACCCAAGAGGCCATGCAAACTCAACTATAATTGTGGTGTGCTACTTTTAGCAAATAAAGGAGCATGAAGTAGTAGACACTACTAACATGTATTTTTTCATTATCTACAGTTAAAAATAAGCCTAGGTAATATGTTACTTTCAGGAACTTGAAATAAACTTAATAATTTGGATTGTGATTCATATAGGGATTATTCACACAGATCATATAGTTTACTTACTACTCCCTCTGATTCATTGTTAGTGTACTTTTTAACGTCATCTGTGTTTATAAGGAAGGTGCTGTCCTTGAAGTTCTTTGCTCATGTTAAATGATAATATCTAAATCCTTGCCATTATACTAACTCCTTTTCAAAAATAAAGTAGTGTTGTACCAAATGAACTGGGCATAATGTATTCAATAAGTGTTAAATAGTTTAACACATGGTTTAAATGTGTGGTAATTTACTTGCTACACTGCCAACACTAAATCTAATAGACTAAGATATTATGAAAATAAAATATTACATGTCAAAAATATTTACATTAGTGGTGAAGAGAAAATAAACCTCACCTAAATAATAATAATAAAATCATATATAATAATATTATATTATATATAATATAATACATATAATACATTATATAATATATTATAATATATA